AGTTTTCAGTAAAGCCGTCATGTTTATTTACACGCTATTTCAAAACTACCCAAATTTGGGTACAATCCACCCAGATCGGCAAAACTGAACCTACCTAAAAATGGGTAAACTGTGTTGGGAGTGGCAAGCTGAAAAATGAACAACGTCGATCGGATTCATGTCAATGTTGTTCATTTTTCAACTTGTCACTACCAACACAGTCTACCCATTTTTGGGTGGGTTCAGTTTTTACCGATCTGGGTGGATTGTACACAAATTTGGGTAGTTTTGAAATAGCGTGTACTTTGCTCGTTTGGTACACTGTTTGACGGTTTGATTGGTACTTTGGCTTCACTCTCGGCGCGACTCTTATTAACATCGGCTCTGGCAGGGATGAATCCGATGAATCATTATTTTTCCTCCTGCTCGCACTTGTTCGAGAAAGTGTTTTGGTGCGCTGATCAAACGTCAAAAATCTCAGTTAAGTGGTTTCGTCTCGATCAGCGAGATCTATTTGTGAGGCAGAAGGAAATTAGCTGACTCTTTCGTTCTCTCGATTCGGCAAAAACACCGGATGAATGAAACAGTGGACTAGTGTTTCCTTCTGCCTCACCTGCGCATTACGTCATACCAGCACACCAAGTGAACGAGTTTTTAACATAGCTGTTCTGGCCGTATCAGGTATCCATCCTAACAATGTGGATAAAACAATCTTCATTCATGACAATTACAGCATTTGCAAAAATAGAGTTTTGCAGTAAACAGTGGCTAACTGACGAGGATCGGATTTACATAAAGGTGAATAAGTGACTATTGTGTGTGGCAGGATAATTTCTCAAAACGGGATTATACCAACAATCAATTCGAAACTAACGATTTTAAATTGGCTCACTACTTGACTAGCCTATTGGTCCCAAGGAAATCGATTTACGTACCCCATTCTAGTCAAAAATCTAGTACTACACAATGTTTGTTTTGATTCACTATGAAAGTTTGATAGATAAAATGAGTGACAAGTGACAAGTTGAAAAATGAACAAAGTCGATTGGATTCATGTCAATGTTGTCCATTTGTCAACTTGTCACTGCCAAAATAGTTTACCCATTTTTGGGTAGGTTCAGTTTTGACCGATCTCCGTGGATTCCACCTTAATTTGGGTCGTTTTGGAATAGCGTGCATCATATATTAATAACGTGTAGTGCTCAATAAATGAAAGAATTCCTAGGGCCCATTAAAATGTTACGTAACGCAACAGATTTGCTTTAAATAGTATCCACCCATACATAACGTACTTTTACTTAATTGAGAGAGTTGTAACACTTTGCCATACGACTCCACCCCCTGCAATTTAAACAAGCACTTGACATACTTTTCTGCACGGCTCTTGAAAATAGCTCAAAATTGAGTAAGAGTGACTTATATTTGAGTTTAGGTTACTTAAATTCGCAAAATCGTAGGTCACTGAAAGAATGAGTAAATTTTCCGATGCTTTTCAGAGGAAAACTTCTCAAATATGAGGAAAACTGATTGTGGATTTAGTCTGTCTACTAGTACACTTCTAACCTGTGCACATTTAAAATTTTTCGCCGAGATTCCAACAGCCGAGTAATCTGCAATTTATTTTGCTGAGATTCAGTCAAATAATTGCCGAGAATCAGCTAACAAATAACATTTTGCTGAGATATCAGCTAACAAACATATATTTTGCAGAGATATCAGCAGAAGTAATTGCCGAAGTAATCGGTTGTTGGAGATTTTACCGAGCTAGATTAAGTGTGTGTACAATTTTCTTAAATTTTCCCCATATTCGAGAAGTTTTCCCCGGGAAAGTGTCGGAAAATTTACTCATACCATAGAGGTAACTCTAAGACCACTGGGTCCCGAAGAAAATCATTATTATTTTTGGCTCACTCAGTACCAGAACAACGGTCCCAAGCAGTCCCAAGCTATTTCACTCACCCCTGCATGTTCTGCATGAATCCACACACCCCTGATGTTATCTGTCAAACTTTCATAGCGAATCAAAACAAACATAGTGTAGTAATAGAATTTCAACTAGAATAGGGTACGTTAATCGTTTGCTTGGGACCAATAGGCTACTAAAGTGGTGAGCCAATTTAAAATCGTTAGTTTCGTATTGATTGTTGCTCATACTATGAGTGACCTACGTTTTAGCGATTTTGAGTAATCTGAACTCAAATGTGGGTAGCATTTTTTGTCCATGTGCGATTAGTTTGGAAAGTATTATTTTCTAAATCAATAAAAATAAACTCACGTCGACCAACGCGACTACACCGACGAACGCGGACACGCCGCCGCCGCCGTCGGCAGAAAACAAAATATCACGCCGCTACCGAAACTATTTTAATCGACGCACAGGTCCAACTGTCACTGCCTAATAGAGTGGGTCACCGATTTATGAAAAACGCAAACTTTACCACACCAATCGAGAACAACCCTTTTTTGGTTCCATTTGGAGTCCCAAACAACTGTGCAAAATTTGGGTTGTAGCTCGGCGTTGCGTTTGAAATTTGTATGAGAAAACCAACTGTTTTGCATTTTCATCCCTAGAGACCACAATTATGCAACTAAGTATGTACAATTATAGTCCAGGAAGTGCCTAACAACTTTGCCAAAGGAAGTACGGTGCTAGAATGTATCTAAAAAAAGTTATAGCTATTCAGATACTTATGGTTTGAATTAAACACCAAAAACCCCTTTTTCTGCCAACACTGCCGGTGTACCAATGGAAGTTAGATTCCAAACTGAAATAATATCGGAATTTCTTATTTTACCGATTTGGTATGTTCAGGGTGAATTATTCAAACACATTTGCTCAATCTCATAAGCGTTGTTAGACAGTGGGGAGGGGGGAGGGGTGAAGGGCTTACTGTATGCAGTTTTGAAAACGAAAATTGTTGTAGTGTAAATATTTAATATCCACCTGTCGGTTCATTTGTTATTGAGGAGATGTTGTTTGAATTATTTGCAGCTGGGAAATTTTAAATTTCTATACAAAGCTTTTATTTAAAATATTAAACTGCCATTCGGGCCACCCGCATATAGAAAACACAGAAGTAGTCGTACGTCTCGAACTAAAAACAAGAGAAAACGAAAACTGTATTCACCAGTTTCGTCTCAGACACAGGTACAGTCGGATTTCGCTTGTTGGGCTAACTTTAAGTGGGCTAAGTTTCAGTTGGACTCCCTCAAGTCAAACGTCATTTCTAACAGTGCTGATTCCCTTTCGAAATTTCGACCGGCTTCATGGTTGTCAACGATATGGCTGAATGAGGGGTGAAGCTAATTTCAATCAAGAAATCCACCCGAGACCTAGTTCAACAGCAATATTTGCTTCAAAGGATAGAACAGCATCGAAAAGAGTACCCTGAGAAATCGTAGAATATATTAAAATGAAATATAAGCATTACAATCCAACGAAATTTGTATGATTATATCTGACATTGTATATTGCACCAAAAGAGTATGGAAGAGAATGGGACTACTCGCTTTACAACTGCTCTTATGAGATTGAGCAAATATTTTTGAATAAGCCATCCGAACAACAGTGCCTATAATCGCATATGAGTCCAATATTTATTTTCGTCAATTTTTAAGATAATAACGCTATCGACTATCAATTGGCATCTACTTTCATATTGCGTAATAAAACTACGGACTTCATCAAAACTTTTTTGACAAAATTTTGACGAAGACATCGATACTACATTAAATTTCATTAAATATAAATTTTTGATCTCACTTCTAGAATTATCAATCATTGATCTGTCAATGTCAAAAGAAGGGGTTTTTCATATCCACAAACTATTCCGAAGATACCACTAGTATAAAATGCAAGATTCGCGAGACAATGACTTTTGACCGTCTTTTCACAGTTCTGGGCCACTATGCGGCTTACGCTTTGCCAGGAAAGGGATTACAAAGTTTTGTTTGCAAATTATGATAAGCCCTTTTCTATTGTTACAAGTCTGTGTCACTTCGCACTCGGAGCCATATTGTTTGACAAGCACAATGCTACTCGATGCCAAGGGAACCCACCCACTACCTCCATCTGATCAATTCACCAACAACCTCATGATTCAAACACCGCTTCAACAAATATCCACCATCGTTGTAGCATCCCCCAAATGCAATCTGATCAAACCCAGTCACGGTTTGGTGCGCGCTCCAAGTCACGTCGGAATCTGCACGCTTCTATGCACATCAATTGAAGTTAGATATTATCGTTTCAGTTGAAAACCGGAAAATCCCACACCCGCCAATTGAATTTACTCTTGTTCTGTACGTTAAACATAACGTCGGACATAATGCGCTGTATTCGCACAATGATGCGCTATTCAGCGCACTATGTCCGATGTTATGTTTAACGTACAGAACAAGGGTAAAATCGAATGTCGCGTGTGGGTTTTTTCAGTGTCCAACTTGAACGACAATATCAACGAACGAGTGAACAACAAACATGAATCGAAACAAACCGCTTGCTCGTTCAATGTTGCTCTCAAGATGTGCTGTTCAAACACAGTGTAAACACCCGTCAGCTGCTCTCGATTCCTCAACATAACCTACACGGTAGCATATGGGGAAATTAGTGGGGGATTCCCCCAAACAGAATTTCAAACCTGTTTTGTATTGGTATATTGCGATTTGCAGTAGTTCAGCCATCCACCGACATTGTTGACTAGAGAACGAGGTGTCGTTTTGTCTAGCTGCAGGCAAATAATTATGCAACCTTCGGCTGACAGCCAAGCGAGAGGCATAAACTGAGAGCATCAACGGCCGTTATTCAGCTTGCCATCGTTATTTGTGTGTATGTTGGTTGGAAGCACGGGCAGTTGTACATTGCTGGAAGCTAGTTCGTTTGATATGCGGATGATGAACTGAGTCACCTGTGCTAACGAGATCGTGACTTTGACGACCTTGTATGGTTCTACTTGCTCCTCATGACCTAGCGTGTGGCATAGTTATTTATTGAACCTCACGGTTTCTCATTTTTTTTTCAGAATGGAGTAGTCAATGGAATATCGAATCACATTACCAACAGCAACAATAACAACAACCCCGATGAATCCCCTCCCACAGTCCGTGAGAAGTGGGGCAAAAACATCGAGTTCCTGCTGTCCTGTGTGGCCCTGTCGGTGGGCTTCGGCAACGTGTGGCGATTTCCCTACACGGCCTACAACAACGGCGGAGGAGCGTTCGTTATCCCGTACCTGATAGTCCTATTGATAATCGGCCGACCGATCTACTATCTGGAGATGGTGCTCGGTCAGTTCTCCAACCGTGGCTGCGTGAAGGTGTACGACCTGGCACCGGTGATGCGGGGCATTGGGGTGGGACAAACGGTGGCAATCTTCACTGTCATTACCTATTATGCGGCTGTGCTGGCCATTACCTTTCGATATCTGGTGGTTTCGTTCAGTGCCGAGCTGCCGTGGAGCACGTGCGATCCCACGTGGGTGGATTGCGTAAATTCGAGCTTCATCGGCACCATTCCGGTGGGGAATGGGACGAAGATTAAATCGTCAGCGGAACTATATTTTCAGTAGGTTGGACCACGTTGAAATTGAGTACCATTAGATAACGACATTATTAACTGATTGTAGGAAAACGGTCCTTCACAAAGCAGATTCTCTCGACGATGGGATAGGGGTCCCGGATTGGAGATTGGCTTTGTGCTTGGTGGTGGCGTGGATCTGCATTACAGCGATTCTCATCAGAGGTTTGTTAATATTCTTTACACTTATGGAACGTCAATTAATTAATGTTTGCTGATCTTTCAGGCATCAAAAGTTCCGGAAAGTTCTCCTACTTTTTGGCTATTTTTCCCTACATTATCATCTTTATTCTGCTGATCCGATCTCTAACGCTGCCCGGAGCCTGGACAGGTATCAAGTACTTCTTTACACCGCAATGGGACAAGCTTCTGACGATCGAGGTGTGGTACGAAGCGGTAACGCAGTGTTTCTTCTCTTTGACGATTTGCTTCGGAGGATTGATTGTTTACTCGTCGTTCAACAAATTTCAGAACAATATCTATCGGTAAGTCGGATTCCCGTTAATATAACGGGTGTTAAATTAAAAATGAGAACTTTTTCAGTCATATTTCAAGTAGAAACAGAATTTTTTTTTCATTAAAAACAATGTTTATTCTTCAAAAAAAAAACGTCAATGAATATTGGAGAAAGGGCTCTAGTCAGCCGTACGACGCAACTTAGTCGCGATGCTCTCACAAGAGCGCTGGACGGCACTGAAATCATTCTCATTTTTTATTGAACACCCGTTAGTATGATGAAAATTTTGAAATTTTTACTTCAGAGTGCTCAGACGGTCATTGCGCCCTGATTAGCATATTAAAAGTTTAATTCGTTTGAAACTGACTTTGCACATATAATTTTATGATTAGATGGAATTTACTATGGAAAAAGTAACACTTTATCCTTGGTCTTTTCGATATTTCAATTAATAATAATTTTTGTAGCAAATTTTCCTAGCTTCAAATTAGCTGTAAACAATTTTTCAGTCAAACGTCATATGCAACAGTTATTTTCTTTTACAAGAAGGTACGGGATGACAGTTCTCAAACTGATTCGTGCCCATAAAGGCAGGCAGCAGGGCGTCACAATATCAGCTTCAATCGACCAAATCGATGCGACAAAGAGACTGCTGGCTTTCTTTTGCTGTTAAAGTCGAACAGCTTCGCAGCATTCTAGAACCTCAGTTGGCGTGCACAAACAAATTTTCAATCGTTTGTCTCTCTTTCTCCCGTCGCTCCATTGGTCTTCCTTTCAAGCTTCGGTGAAACGGATGAGCGAAAGAGCGCTCGAATTTGATAGTTTTCTCTTTCATGAAACACATCAACAGAGGTTTCATGACGTATATGACGGAAAATGAAATTACATATTTAAAGCATTTCTCACGTGAAAACACTTGAAGATTACACGTAATATGTTTAATTTATCTTCCATCCACATATTTATCTAAAAAAAATTAACGAAAACGGGACATAACGCATTTTAAACAAATTGATAGAGCGGTGATGAGTGTTCGTGAAAGGGGATTGAAAGCCATAATTAGGTTTCGTTTAACTAGAAGTTCGACGTTACTTACATTGAAAGCGATGAGCAAAGCAACGACGAGAAGATCCACAGCCAGCGTTTCCTTCTAAGCGTGCTTCTTCTTCATTATCTATTTCTTGCTGATAGTCTAGCAAGGCGTTATAGAAATGAAGCGTTGAACACGTTTGTATGAGAGAAACAAAACTCGAGTTCATTTTAGAGCTTCGAAAATGTAGAGCCCTGGCAGGCAGTGCTGGCAGTTCTAGTACTGCACTGGCAATATTGTATGCAAGTTGTTTAGATGAAATGTTCCAACACAACGTAGGTTTAATGAGACAATGTAAGGGCATAAAAATGAGTTAGTAATGTTTTAACCGCCAAGAAATAAAGATCGTTTTACAAATTAAATAAAGTTTTGGTGATCTTGAGTGCCTACTCCGCCGATTTTGCCGTTCCGTTTTTTTGGTGACTAGTGCCCGTTTGTGATCCCGAAATACCCCGCCGGAAAACATATTGGTAAGACAAGACAAGAACAAGAAGACAAAGACAACGAACCTGTGGCGACGAAGACGCGCCTCGGATGGTGCATTTTTGGAAAGAACTCCGGCAATGATTCCGGGCTGGAACAACTGAATCTCCACCTTGATGGCGATCCCAATAACCGAGAACTACATCTGTGGATGAAGCAATTCTTCACAGTCGAAGAGTCCAGCGTCACCATAAAACCGGAAGCTGGAGAAGATAAGCGAGCGCGGAAGATAATGTAAGCTACGACCCCAAGGGTCAATGGTGCTTTCGAGACGGGACTTTTATGGACGTACGTTCACATCTGCTTCCCTGATAACTACCCAATGGCGCTACGTCGGCTGAACGCACTGGACAAGCGATTGCGCAAGGACCCAAACCTCGAAGCGAAGGTGAGGGAGCAGATTGCAGAGTATGAAGCGCAAGTGTATGCACATCGTATCACGGCAGACGAGCTGCAGTCTACGGATCCCAGCAACGTCTGGTATCTACCTCTGGGTATTGTGCAGAACCCGAAGAAACCGGCCAAGCTACGGCTGATCTGGGATGCCAAGGCTCGAGCTGGAGTAGTGTCTTTTAACGATATGTTGATGAAGGGTCCTAGGAGTGTGAGGTGATTGAGAGGTGGAAGCAGTACTATGACGAGCACCTCAACGGTGAAGCAGCAGCAAACGAAGGTGGCACGGCAACAGACCTTGGAGCACGCGCAGAAGACGACAGGCTACCGGCCCCTGATCTTCAAGAAGTTGAGGAGGAGATCGGTCGGCTGAAGAACAACAAAGCAACTGGTGTAGATCAACTACCAAGTGAGCTATTGAAATACGGTGGTGAAGCACTGGCTAGAGCGCTGCACTGGGTAATTGCCAAGATTTGGGAGGAGGAGATATTACCGGAGGAGTGGATGGAAGGTGTCGTATGCCCAATCAAAAAAGGGCGACAAGTTGGATTGCTGCAACTACCGCGCGATCACACTGCTGAGCGCCGCCTACAAGGTACTCTCCCAAATTCTATGCCGCCGTCTGTCACCATATGCAAGAGAGTTCGTGGGGCAATACCAGGCGGGATTCATGGGTGCCCGCGCTACCACGGACCAAATTTTCGCGATTCGGCAGGTTCTGCAGAAATGCCGCGAATACAACGTGCCCACACATCATTTGTTAATCGATTTCAAATCCGCATACGACACAATCGATCGAGATCAGCTATGGCAGATTATGCACGAGTACGGATTTCCGGATAAACTGACGCGATTGGTCAAGGCGACGATGGATCGAGTGACGTGCGTTGTTCGAGTATCGGGGACACTCTCGAGTCCCTTTGAATCTCGAAGGGGGTTACGGCAGGGTGATGGACTTTCGTGTCTGCTGTTCAACATCGCGTTAGAAGGTGTGATCAGAAAAGCTGGGATAGACACGAGTGGCACGATATTCAGGAAGTCCATCCAGCTCCTTGGTTTCACCGATGACATTGACATTATGGCACGGAACTTTGAGATGATGGCGGAAACGTACATCAGACTGAAGGCTGAAGCTAGACGGATTGGACTTGCCATCAACGCATCAAAGACAAAATATATGAAAGCAAGAGGTTCTAGGGAAGACAATGTTAGCCTCCCACCCCGAGTTCAGATTGACGGTGACGAAATCGAGGTGGTCGATGAGTTCGTGTATTTGGGCTCACTGGTGACCGCCGAAAATGATACCAGCAGAGAAATTCAAAGACGCATTATGGCAGGGAATCGTGCCTACTTTGGACTCCGGAGGACGCTCCGGTCGAATAAAATTCGCCGCCGCACGAAGTTGACTGTCTACAAGACGCTGATTAGACCGGTGGTCCTTTACGGCCACGAGACCTGGACTATGCTCGTGGAGGACCAACGCGCCCTTGGTGTTTTCGAACGGAAGGTGTTGCGTACCATCTACGGTGGAGTGCAGATGGATGACGGAACGTGGAGGAGGCGAATGAACCACAAATTGCACCAGCTGCTGGGAGAACCATCCATCGTCCACATTGCAAAAATTGGGCGACTACGGTGGGCTGGGCACGTCGTAAGAATGCCGCACGACGACCCAGTGAAAATGGTTCTAGAAAGCGACCCAACAGGAACAAGAAGAAGAGGCGCGCAGCGGGCAAGGTGGATCGACCAAGTAGAAGGTGACCTGCGGACCCTTCGCAGACTACGAGGCTGGCGAACTGTGGCCATGGATCGAGTAGAGTGGAGATGACTTCTTCGGACAGCAGAGGACAACAAGGCCTTAGCCTGATTGGTAAGGTAAGATGATGAAGGGTCCTGATCTTTTGGTGGCGCTGGTAACAGTACTGTTGCGTTTCAGGCAGAGGGACCTTGCCATTGTCGGTGACATAAAGGAGATGTTTCACCAGCTCCGCATCCGGGACGAAGACAAACAATCACAGCGTTTCCTTTTCTGCCTTGAACCAGGATCGAATCCACAAATCTACCTAATGGATGTCGCCACTTTCAGTGCGACCTGCTCGCCTAGTCTGGCGCAGTTCGTGAAGAACGTGAACGCGAAGGAATTAGCCGAGACATTTTCCAGGGCGGCAAATGCAATAATTGATAACCACTACGTTGACGATTTCTTGGATAGTGTGGACACGAAAGAGGAAGCCGTGGCGTTGATCAACGAGGTGAAACACATCCACTCTCAAGCAGGGTTTGAAATTCTGCTCCAATTCGGACGAAGAACTGGCAAGCACCGGGGAATGCGGAACACCACAGGAAGTATCCATGAACTTGGAGTAATCGACAGAATCGTAGCGTATACTGGGCGTATCATCAGCTCAACGATGCCAACCAAACGGCAGGTTCTGCGTGTCATGATTTTCAGCGGGCCTGTCGGGTGCCTTCACAAAATGATGTTGCTCCATGGTGTCAGGTGTGGGATGTATCAAGTCTGAGGGAGCCTTACTGGGTGTCCCGCTGTCCGGATGACCACTGGGTTGTGATTCCAGATCGCTTTGGGGCCGTGAGGTAAACTCAAGGAAACCGTCAGCTGACCGAAGCGTATCGCTCACTGTTCGTCGGCCACGGAATATGGACACGGCTGCTGCTTTCCTCTCCGTCCGCCGAGCAGATCCGCCACGGCTGTGGCACCGTCTGGGTGTACTGGGAGTTCACTGAATGGGGATTGCAGATCCCTTAAAGCCGCAGTGAGGTAAACTCAGAAAAACCCTCAGCTGGCCAAAGCGGTTGCTGCCTACCGATTGAATGAGCCCGAGTGGGGCACCGCTGCTGCTTTTATGGAGATGTGCTCTCCTCGCCGTCCGTCAATTGAATGACGGAAAAATGATAATGCTTGCTCTTATAATATTTGCTTTGCTACTGATTAAGCCGTCAACCAATCGTAATCATCCAATTTTCGGAGGACACAAATAGATGTGATTAAACAGTAAGTTTACTTTTAGTTGCTATTTTATATTTTATTATTATTTATACCA